CAAAGGTAGCTGGGCTTTACCTTACTGCAGAGTGACTTTTGTGGCCCATTACTCAGTGTAAACCTTGAGTTTCTTCCAAAGTCCCAGGGTGAATTTTGCCGAAATAGAGGGGTCTCAGTACTAAACGTACCAGACATCATGTCCTTCAGTCAATGGGAGATTGATGTTTGCTTGATACGGGAGTAGGCTGTACTGCCACAAATCTTGCTTTGAAGCAACAAGGTCATCAGAGGATAACTCCACGCTAACGGCACAAAGGAGGCAGGAGAAGGGCAGGAGCGTGGCTATGCTCTGTGCTTTGGAAGGTCCGGTTGGGTTGGGACATGCGGCTTTTTTGGCTCATGCTCCGCACGTTTCCGCTCCAGCAGCTCTGCTACCGTTTCCTGCACGATGGGGCGTTTCTGTTCGGGCTGCAAAGAGTCCCCGGTTCATTTTGCAGCCTGGGAAAGGTGCAGGGCTGGAGCCGGGTCCCTTATAAATCCCATCAGCCCCCAGTGGAAAGAGGATGTTTCCAGGCTCAGTGATGAAAAATGTCTGGGGGTGGTGTGGACAGAGGTGTGCATATGTGTCTGTGTTTGTTTGCCTCCTTGACAACCTCGTGTGAAGGATTTCAGAGCCTTAGTTTTCCACATTGGTCTTCCTGTCTGCTTTTGATTATTTTTTTTGTCTTTCCCTTCACTTCTTAGATAGCTACCAACTTTCAACGGGAAGAGTCGTGGAGACACAATCCTAAATAGGGTGTCCTGTGTTTATCCATGAGAGGCTGGACTGGTGCTTCCTCCCACCACTGGAATCCCTCGCCTCTGGCTGGAGCTGGCCATGGGATGGAGCATTGCCTGGGATGGACCAGTTGGGTCCATTTGGGTGAAAGATGCCTCTGATCACAATTTTCTGACAATAGCCAGTTCAAGGAGAAATTCAGGAGAGGTCCAAGCATGGCATGGAAGACAAGTCAATGACAATGTTTTTGAGAAGATGGGAGTGAGGAGTGCTGAGATACTTCTGCCCCCTCAAACCCACTGTCTGGTCATTAATTAGAACCCATTTCTGCCTCTCCAAATGTGGTGTTTAGAGGGACCAAGGGAGCGAGGAGGAGATGTGTCAGGGCTGCAGGGGAAGAGGAGTGTGTCCAAGTGGGGAGACATGCCTTGGGATGATTACTTTTAATATTGTCACACTTCCAAATGAAACAGCAGACGAGCTGAGCTGGCTCAAACACTTGCAGAAAGAGCTGATGGGGAATTTGTTAATGAAGCAGGTTTCTCCTCAGAAAATGCCAGTTCATCAGAACCTGGATTTTGGGGATGTGTGTTGCAGTCCTGGCAGGAAAGGCATCTCAGGCTGCAGATGGGTTTCTTGGTCGAAACCAAGGAAGTTTAAAGGCTCCCATGTGAATAAAATAAGGCGAGGCAGATCTAACAGGAGGGACGGAGAGCCCGAAGCTTGCATGTGGTTTGGTTCAAGTCCTGCTCTCTGAGCTTCAGGGTTACTTCCACTGGGTAAAACAGGGACAACTTAAAATTTTCCCAGGTCCAAATTAAAGCAGAGAGGCTTTTGGCTACTGTAGGGATGTGAGTGACTGCAAAATCCTGCAGACTGATGAGTCCTCAGGTGCTGCGGGGACGTGCCCCAAATCTCCACCCAAGGCTTATGTCCAGGATGGCAGTGCAGCCATTCAGGAGGAAGCCCTGGATGCTCCTCTCCATCTGGAGATGGAGCAAAACCCCTCAGGGCTTGAAGCACATCTGTTTTTCCCCTCCATGTCCAGCCAGTAAGGGCTTATTGGGTAAGTCCTTCAGGACAGAGGCTGCGGCTGCAGGTTCATTTCATTTGACAGCAAAGAAGATGACACTTGTCAGTATTATCGCCTTGATTTCGCTTTCACTTGCATACAAGATCTAAACAGCACCAATCTGAAGGTCTTTTCAATAGAGCCTTTTCACAGTGAGGTAAAGGAGGTTCCCTGCTAACAACAAGCCCGTGGCTTTAAGTCAGAGTCCAGACATACTTGTTTCCTTCCCGAGTGATACTGTGGCACTAATTAGATCCAGCCATTAGGTCTCATCTTTAATATTTTGCAGAGCAATTCTATGAAGACTGCTCTGCAGCAGTTTTTATTCTGGCAGGGTTTTCCAGAGGACAGACATCCCTGCACTGGATAATTGGACTGATGGATTAGAGCCTGAAAAAGCTCTGGCAGTGGCTGTTGGACCTTTCCCCATCTTCCCACCCGGGAAAGCAAGTTGGTCTTTGGCCTGGGTGAAACCATTTCATAATGTTGATGGTGAGACTGGCAGCAAAGGCGTTGGGTGATCCCAGTTTGGAAGCATATCTTCTGATGTGGAGAGTGCCTCTTTGCAAAGGCGAAGGGTGGCATGCATGCTAACGACATCTTCATCCCACATCCCTCACCGAAATCTCAGCAGCTAGCTAGGGAGGATGGTGCTGTTTGGAGCCCATCTTTCAAAATTTAAAAACCCTGTGAGGTAACCATTTGCGCTGGTAGCCAAGCTTAATTCCAGGATAAATAATGCCGTTCTGTGATATTCTGCCAATCGCTCTCACAGTTTTAAAAGGAGGTGACAAATTTCCTGTCCTCTGCAACAACTGGTCTCTGCTCCAGCTCAGACACGGCTGCATTGCAGCGGGTGGATAAAACCCTCCTTTTGCCCAGGAGCCTCTTGCGATGCAAAGAAAAGACCAGGAGCCTCTTCACTTGCTTTGGCACGTGCTTACCCCTAGCAAAGACCACCCTTGGAGCCTCAGCCCCCGCTTTCCCTTTGATAAACTCAACCCATTGCCCCTGTTTAATCAGGAAAGGCTGCAAAAAAGAGGAGACAAATATGAACTTCCTCAGGCCTGGCTCACATCCCTTCCCCTTCCCTGGGTTGCTCGGGCTCCTTAGCTTTCTCATCCCGCCTTGGGAGGAGCAGGAGCTGGCTGGCGTAAGGCTCCAAGCTGGGCTCAGCCTGCCGGCGTGGGGTGTGTCACCCACCATTTCCTAAGTTATTCTTTTGCGTTTCCTTTTCTCACTATTAATAGATTTTCAGCCAATCTGAGCTGTTTCAACAAGGGGGGGGGGGGGGCTTTACCAAAATAGGAAGTGGGAAGCTGTTGGGCAGGGAATTAATCAGAGGAGCTGCATGGAGAGGTGATGGCTTCGGGTGGGCTGATGGTAGCAGGGACAGGACATGTCCTTTCGCTTTGTATTTTGTGCCGGTTGCTTCTCTTTTTGTGCTCCAAGCCATGACCTTTCCAAACAAGCTACTCCCCCCAAGCGTCTTCCCCAGCCTGGAAAATACCACACATCTACTGCAACGAGGTTACAACTAGAGCATCACTTCATGGCATGGTTAGTGGTGGTGAACAGCGGCTGAATATTGTGGCCCTCCACTGATATTGCAAGGAGCTGCATTGGCACAAGCCAGTATGCCTTTCCTTTTCCATTTTGGGTGGCTTTTCACACCCTGACAGCTCCTGACCAGAGCGCTCCCACACCAGCCCTGTCCAGGAGTGCCCACAGCAGCAGGGACCGACAGTGGCACCTCCAGCCTCCCAAATATTGCTCACTGGGGGCCGAACAAACCCATCTTGATAGCTAGCAATAAGGGAAAGTTCTCTCCCCTCCGGGGTTGTCCCCATCGCGGAGACACCGTATCGCAGGCACGGTCATAGGATACGCATATCCGGAAATTAAATCATGTTTTTGCAGCAGACTCATTTCCTCCAGGCTGTTTGGCTGCCGTGCGCACGGATGCGTGCATGGAGGGTTTGCACTCTCCTCCTGCGGCTCTACCCCGCACCCAGCACAGAAGTGCAAGGGTTTGGGGTTTTCGAAGGGATGCGTGTGAGAGGAGAGGTGCAGACCAAAGCATTAGACTCACTGCAACCAGTGCTGTCAAAATACACCAGTAGCTGCTATATTGTTCTAATTTTCCTTAAAATGAGGAATTGACGACGGTCAAAAAGTGAAATCAAATAAGTGGCCTTGCCCTGCCAAAATGCAGCCAGGAAAGTCAGGAGCAGGTAGTTTCTTCTGCCTTCTGGAAAACAGGGTGAGGGACTCTGGCTGAAATTCAAATGAACTTTCTTTTGGAAAGGATTTCCTCCTGGTAAGGAGAGTGATAGCTTAGAGGACCTCTCCTCCATCTTCCTTCTCTCTCATAGCATGCATTAAATCCTTTTCTCTCTGGGGCTTACAGTATGAAAGGACCATTTGTTTCCTGCAAATGGACGTACTGTATCTTTTGTGAGTAATTTTCATACTAAAGGGGCACCAAACATAATCCTGTCCTGTCTGGCTGTTATTACTGCCAGTCTGTGGTTACAGGGGTTTTCTCCTCCTTCAACAAGATTTTTTTCATTTCTTCTGTGGGGGACAGTCATCAGACAATACTGGCTACCAGCCCAGGCAAACAGGGGCTCATTACCAGTTATTACCCCCAGGTCTGCCGCCAAGATTTGGCACGGGTGGCCAGTTAGGGAGGAAGAGATAAAAAAAATAGTTATCTGGCGTTTGAGAGAGATATAGCACATGTGGAAGGAAAGCTGTGACTCCGGGGCTTGCAGTGCTCTCACTGCTTGTTCTGTATTTGTTTATGCTTTGGAATTAAGTATTGGCTAGGCTTATGAAAATGAGAGCAATGAGTTTGCATATTCTGCGGGTGGTGAACCTGCAAGACACCAAAAAAATGCAATTTGTTTTTCCCCAGTCTGAATAAAATACATTTTTTCCCAATGCTGCAGTGAGACAGAGACCCTGGCCAAATGACTAATATTAAGCCCAGAGCAATAAAACTGCAAAAAGGTGTGCAGCCCCGCGACCGCAGCAGCATCTGGCTCCTTGTGCAACAGCGGTGAGAAATCAGCTTAATTTAATGCGACTGGAGAGGGAAGGTAAATTCCACTGACAGATGGGTGCCCAAAAATCTGTGGGACAAGGTTGGGGATCGATAGGGTGCCGATCCTCCGTGGAAGGAGGATCTCACCCAGCCGTAGCCATGGCTGCTCTCTGCCGGTATGTTGTGGGTCCAGCCATGGTGGTGCACGTTGTCTTGAAGAGTGTCAAGTTTGCACCCTGTCTGGATTTCCTCTTCCCGTGGCCATCTCCGTGGCTGCTCCTCGCCACAGCCATTGCATTTCAGCCAGCAACAGTAATTCTTCAAAATAGTCTGCTTTGAGACGAGCAAGCTGTGGGAGAAGAAAGGGGGAATGAGAAAATTTGGTAGCAGCCTAGCTGAGCTGGGGTGGAGGCTGTTAAAGAAACGTCACTTTCAGACCAAGTTTAGGATGGGAGATCTTTTGCAAAGGGCTTCCCAGTGGTCCCATCCAGCCTGATACAGCAGGAGCTGGTTTGTAGGGAGGGAACAGCGTGGTGAAGTACTTTCTGGCTCATACATCATTTGTGTTGCCATTTGCCAAAGGGATGAAGGTCATTACCCACAAAGGAGAGTGATTTCTACCTCTGTGGCACTTAGCATCACCTGACCTCAGCCTGGCCCATGTGGTAGGATGGATAATGTCCTACCTGCCCACATGGTCAGCATCTGTTGAATGCATCCATCCCCCTGCATGGTGGCTCACTGCTTCCAAGCAGGAGTGTGCTGGCTCCTCAAGTTGCTTTGAGCCTACTTAAATCACTGGTCCAGGCTTAATGAGGAAGAATAAACTGATCTTTTAACATCTCTTGACCTTCGCAGGAGAGGAGCGCTAAGAGTGGCTGCAGAGATGTGGAAAGATAAAATACTAGTAAGCTTTGTGGGCATCACCTTGAGTCTTGGTTCTTCTCCCAGTTGCTTTTTTGGACTGTGTCACCCTGTGTCTGTTGAAAGAGGCCCTACTACCACCCCAGCCAGGGCAAGCCTGGAGGATCACACCAGCATTCTCCATCAGCAGAGCAACCCCTTGCTTCGGGCTTTTTCTCCCAATTTTTGCTAAAAGTGGTAAAAATGTAGCTGCAGCTCCCAGGGTGGGATGGGGAAGCACTGGGGCAGGGATGCCAGTTTCTTGGCTCGCGGGGTCCCAGCTGGCCACCGGCGCTGGCCCAGAGCCAAAGCATGGGCCTGCCCCTTTCTCTTTTGGACCGAGTTGAATTGAATTGTCTTTTCTACCTCTCCTTCGGTGCATGTTTGCTTCCTGCCTCTCTGGGATGGGGCCAGGGCATGAAAAGGAAGCGAGAGCAGTGGGGGATTTCCTCCACCTTCCTTCTGACCCTTTCTTTATTTGTGTCTCTTGTGTATTGTTTCTACCTTGAGAGGATTTTTTTTTAACCTCCCTTGTTGTCAAAACCCCTGTCAAACCTTTAGAGCCCTATTTATGGGATAGAACCATTTCGTGGCTAACTGGATGAAAACTCCCTGCTATCTTTTGCACCTGGGTTTCATCTGCTAGGTGCCCATGCCTGTGTTTTGCTTCCTTATCTCTTCTTCTCCTGCAGACAGTGGTCAGTCTATAGGAAATACGACTTGTCTCCACAAAAGCTCTTTTCCCGCAAATGTAGTGTTGCAGCCTCCCCATCCCAAATCCCACTCCCCAGGTCCTGTCTCAAACATACCTCCACACCCCCCTGGTGTCCTGATGTGGTGGGGTTAGATTTCCCCAGCGGTATGAATCTCAGAAGCTCAAGTTTTCATCAGATCTTTGAAGGACAACCAGTGCTAATAAACAGGCTCTCTAAGAGAAAATACTTTGCCAGTGTGCCAGCATGGAGGAGTGAAGCAGATCTCTGGAGAGCAGCATTAGGGTATGGCTAAAGATCAAACCTTGGATGTGTGACTCCTGTTTTGGAGGGTTGGAAATAATATACAAGTGCCTCATGGGGCAAAAAATTAGCCCTCTTCTGCAGAGTCATCAAATAGAAGAACTCCCCATTCCAAAATCAGGTTGTTGTATTGACTCCAGACAGATCCACAGATGAAGTGGCTCAGTGCAGCCTGCGGTTCCTGAAAGGTGAAAAACTGGTCGAACCTTGCCTGGGGTGAATTTGGGCAAGAACCCAGAGCTGGTGGTCACCACATGCAATGGGGGGAAATTATCTCCGTGGCAATTGACGGAGCTCCTGCAGTGATGACAAACAGAAAAATGGACCCAAATTTTTATATCCAGTCTAGTAGCGAATATGCCACATTTTAGCATTGCAGGATGTTGCAATCTTTTGCCAGGCAAGCTGTCCTTCAGCTGCATCCCTCACTGAGAAACGGCTTCATAATTTGAAAATTTAAAGTATTCTTCAGAAACCAACTGCAGATCTCTTTATGTATGATAATGTGAGATAACTGAGCAATGGACAATCCTCTTTGCTTGGAGATCGAGCTTTTTTCCCACTTAGGTAATGTCAGCTCTCAGTGAAATACTTCATGGATCTCCTCAAAAACAAATAAGTCGTGATAAAAGTGGCATTTCTGTGTGATGTACAAATGCAGGATAAAGGTTGTGGAAAAACACATGGGAATTTCATGGTTCAGGTGGTGGCGTTAAGGATTTGCGTGGTACGTGCAGAGGGAGCCCTTCATTTTCCTGGCTTGCGTCTCCTTTTCCTAAATGCATCCTTTGATTTTTTTTTAAGGTTTTCCTTTGAAAGTGAACACTGACTTCAAACATTTTTATGTGACTTTCTCAGGCTTTTCAGAATAGTAAAATAATCAGCTAAACAAGTATGTGATTGTAGATTGGTGATAATATTTGCAATGGGCAGCTGAACTGAACATCCTTAAAATTAAAATAATGCAGCTCCATGTAAATGCTGTTTGTATTTACTGGCAAACTCTGTCCAGTGTTGACCCGTTCTTTCAAAGCAAGTAGAATAAATATTGTTTCTACAGTTCACCCAACTGGGAATTTCAGTGTGTACAAATTTTCATAGAATCAGAGAATGGTTTGGGTTGGAAGGGACCTTTGAAGATCCTCTGTTCCAATCCCCCTGCCATGGGCAGTGACACCTTCCACTAGACCACGTTGCTCAAAGCCACCTCCAGCCTGACCTTGAACACTTCCAGGGATGGGGCATCCACAACTTCTCTGGGCAACCTGCTCCAGTGTCTCACCACCCTCAACAGTTTGACTCTGCGGATTTAAGTGAGAGTGCTTATTTTATGGTGGTTTTATAGTAATTATCTGAGTTCAGGAGGGAAAAAAAACCCTAAGTTGAAATATGAGCAATGAAAGAAACAAAGCTTGAGCTTTGAAAAAAAGAATATAGAATCATAGAATCATAGAATCGTTAAGGTTGGAAAAGACCCTTAAGATCATCGAGTCCAACTGTTAACTCAGCACTGCCAAGCCCACCACTAAACCATGTCCTTGAGCACCATGTCTACCCGTCTTTTAAATACCTCCAGGGATGGAGACTCAACCACTGCCCTGGGCAGCCTGTTCCAATGCCTGACTACCCTTTAGGTGAAGCAGTTTTACCTAATATCCAACCTAAACCTCCCCTGGCGCAGCTTGAGTCCGTTTCATCTCGTCCTATCGCTTGTTACTTGGGAAAAGAGACCGAACCCCACCTGGCTACAACCTCCTTTCAGGCAGTTGTAGAGAGCAATAAGGTCTCCCTGCAGCCTCCTCTTCTCCAGACTAAACAACCCGAGTTCCCTCAGCCACTTCTCATAAGACTTGTGCCCTAGACCCTTCACCAACTTCGTTGCCTCTCTTTGGACATGCTCCAGCACCTAACTTTCAGAATGGTCAGAAGTGTCACCTTATTTATCTGAGGCTCCTCACCGTTTCAGGGATGTGAGAGACCCTCATAACGGGGCTGGACAAACAGCATTCCGCACATCCCTTGACTGCTCCCTTACAAGGGCTGGATGTTACTTTATTTTGGGAATGACTTGCAGTGCTCTGCATGGGAGTTGGTGCACATTCCATCTGAGGGAAACCTGCCTTCTGGGAACCAGCAGGTCTTGCCCTCCAATACCTTTGAAGTCCTGTGTTTGAATTCTCTTCCTCCTCCTCCTCCTCTGCTCTGCTTTTTGCCTGACAGTGATACCAGAATGTGGCATTTGGTATGAGTTTGATATGAGGCAAGCCCTGAGTGAATGACTCATGGTTTCTGGTCAGCATTTATTTCTACAAATACCTGTTCTGGGTGGAAACCAAGGGTAGTTTCCTTAGTTCAAAGTTTATCTTGGCGTTTTTACTTTTCCCTAGGTGTCAGCTCTCAGGATGCTACAAAGACAACTCCTGCAAGCCCAGGAGAAAATGGGCAGACCATCACGACTACACACACCGGCAAGATAAAAGCGACCACCTCCGAAAGCAATCCAGGAAACCCAGCATCCACCTCTGCAATGTCATCTACCACAGTTCAAGGGAGCACCCCTATAAACAAGCTGGGAAGCACATCGCCTACCCCTGTGACATCACCCAGCGCTGCTCAAGGGACCACCCCTACAAGCAACCTGGGAAACTCAGCATCCATCTCTGCGATGTCACCTACCACAGTTCAAGGGAGCACCCCTACAAGCAAGCTGGGAAACCCATCACCCACCTCTATGACATTGCCCCACCTGTCTCAGCAGGTCAGCTCTTCAACCAGCTCCAGAGCCTCAACAGCCACCCCTGCTGCAACCTCGAGCACGGCCCAGCAGAAGACTAGCTCTCTAGCCAGCTTGGGAAGCTTGGTAGCTGCCACTCATGCAAGCAGCCATCCAACCACCCCAGGAGGCTCAGGGACTGCTGTCACATCCTCTCGCAGTGTGGAAACTCAGAGAGGGCAGCCTTCGGACCAGTTGACCAGCACTGCTGCAAGCATGGGCGTCTCAACGAGCAGCTGTACCCCTGGGCACAAGAACTATGGTGTCTCTTCTCCCACATCTGTCACCAAGCAGCTTCACTCTTCTCCCAGTTCTCCAGTCCAGGGACTGACCTCTTCCACACCTGGAAGCATTGACGCTTTTGTTACCCCTTCTGGTGTATCCATCTCCCTCACCACTAGTAAAGCTGTGGGTGAGGAGCATCCTGGCAGCACCAAGAAGGGCTCAGAGGCAGCCACCACGCCGACTCCTGGAGCAGGTACCAGAAGATGAGAACCTTGATTTCTTGGGTTAGGAGGCCCTTTTGTGGTCTTTTCCTTTGGCTACCCTAAACACCTCCTGTCATTATGGGGTGTCATCACCTCGTGTCCTTTTAGGACTTTCCAGCATAGCTGTCTCCGTGACAACTGGGTGTTTAGGTCCCTGTTGTCATTGGTGGAGATCAAGTCAATGTAGTTAGTGAAATTCAAGGCATGAGTCAACGGGCAAAGCGTAGACATTGGCCTTCCGATGGACCAAACTGTGCCTGAAACAACATCAACTGCAATGACTCGATCTTCAGTGCCTGCAAAAGGCAGCCAGCAGCGATGATTTTGGAGGTGGAGACTGACATTGTAGAGTTGGTGAGAGAGATTGACAGCACCCCGAATGCTGACTGTAGAAGATCCCTAGTATGGCTGACAGCTTAGTGAAGGCTGTTTGGGCATGCATAGAAAATAAACTTTAGATGACTAAGGAGATTTTGTGGCTAAACTCTGAGTCTACAACCTCTAAAGAGTCTAAGGAGTTAGGTAGGATATTCATCATTGCTGCAGGGGGGGGGTTGGCTGCTGACTTCTGTCTAAGCAGCATCGTGAGTGTCCATGTGGTGTCTAGGATCTTGCTGAACAGCATTAATATGTTTTCTCTAGACCTCTGGAGCTTTACAGAGCCATGTTAGTTCATAAGTAAGTGTCCCGGTCAGGCACAGTGTAGGGTCCCCTTTGGCATTTTGTCTGGTAGCATTTACAGGGAAGCAATCACACGGTGGGACTGTAAGGGCTCCAGGGAACCTTCCAGACTTGGGTGGGATTGTGGGTTCAGCTCACATCTGGCTCTGAATAAAAGCTGTGATGACAATGAAGCCCTTCATTGTCTTCCTCTGGAGAAGGTTGTTCTTGACCCAATTTCCAGCTACCTGCAATACAGAAGCCACTCAAAAAAACATCTCCTTCCCCCTCAGCCTTCCAGCTCCTCCTTGCTGTCAGCATCACTAAATGGTCCACGGTCTTAATGCAAGACCATCTTCACTAGCTTCATCCAAGTCATGTTTTGAGCATGTTAGCAGGCTGTAGGAGGTGAAATGGGTGTCTTCATGAAGGATGTTTCTTTCCCCTCCTGCTCCACAGGACTGTTCTCCATTAAAGGATGATATATGAAATTATGTTAATTCAAATTTGACCTCAAGCTTTGAGCATGAAGAGGTCTAAAAAACCTTTACATCTAATAAAGAGGTGAGAGAATGCAAGAGAAACAGATGGCTTTGAAATTAATTCTCTCCTGGAGCCTTCAGAATGCATCTGGGATAGACATATCCCTCATCTTTTCTGTTCAAGAGGCAGGAATCCCAAAAGCAAACAGGCTGTGAACAGGATGTGGTGTTTTAGTTCTCTTTGTCACCATTTAAGGATCAATTAGGAACCCAGGGATGGAGATCCATTTCTTCAAAAGGTTTTGGGGAGGCAGGAGGCTACTATGCTCCTTGCACTGCTCCCACTGCACAAGAAACTGTAAGATGCTGCAGACCTTGATAAAGGCATCTGAGATGATCTCGGGTATCTGAGACACCTGCATGGGGCTGGTAGACGTGGAGTATGTGCCCTTCTGGAGTAGCAGGCAAGGCAGGACACCCCAGGCTGCTCTCATAGTGCCAGGCACTACTTCTAAGCACGTCATGCTGGGCTTCTTCCATAGCTGATGGAGACACAGCCAACAGAGGTTATGGCATTTCATCCCCTCCTAACGGAAGCGGCTGCAGTCGCCAGTGGGACTGTACAATGAACTCCGTTCACTGGGATATCCTGGGTAGCCCGCTCAGATAGGCTGCCTCTGTTGTAAAAACCTCCATGGACAACACCCCAGATAAAGTGTAATGATGAGGGCCACCCCATTTACCCAACAATATGCCTTTTTTAAGTGATTACCCAGATACCAATGCACAGCTATGATAGCCTTTGGGTTCATCTCTCCAGAACAGTCTGATGGGTTTCAGCAGCAGAAAATACAATTTGCAATTTTTTTTTTTTCATATCACAGTTAATTAAAAAAAAAAAAAAAAAAAAAAAAGAAAGAAGAAACCCAAAACCTCTCCAAGCTTTGACACAGTCAGCTTCAAGGCAGGGCTAGAGCTGAAAACTTATTTTCAACTGCTGATGAACAGACCTGTGTCAGCTGTATCCTCTATACTGTATCAGTGTCTGTCTGCTTGTTTTTTGCTGTATGTTGGGGACCCAGACCAGAGAAGCCATGACCTTGGATCTGTGTCAACCACACCTACAAGTGCTGACCAGAGCCCTGCCAGTGCACAGCCATCAGCCCCAGCCCTGGGGAACAAGACGGCGAGCAGCAGTCCTGGCCACCAGCACCCTAACGATTCTTTCCAAAATCAGGTAATGACACCTACGGGAAGGTGGGCATTTCGTAGTGGTGTCTATTAATATTTAGCTGGCATCCCACGTACATGTAAAGCCTGCAGCCCTTCTTGCTGTGCACATCTGTGTCAGAGAGATCTGCCTTAGGAAAACATGAGGCAGCAAAATCATTCTAGATTAAACCCCTTTCTCCTGTAGCTTTCCATTGAAGAGACATGGAGGATGCAGGTGAAGGGGATTATGGTCTGGGTGCTGAACAAGGAACACATGAAATTTGGGGAGAGAGAGGGAAACATTATGGAGAGGAGAAGCTGCCTTGGGGTGGATTTGGACATGATGAGAGGGCAAAGACCACAATTCAGCGTCAACCGTTCATGGATGATATTAGCAGAAAATGGTTTGGGAGCATAGGGGCGTCTCAAAACAGAAGCCAGGATAACTAAAGTGCTGGGAAGGAGGGAAGGGGATCCTGTTTCTAGATGCTTGTCTTTTGTAGGGCAGGACTGCATCACAGCGCACTGGCATGGATCTTCCTACTGCCCAAGCCAATTCCTGCCTTACCCCACACTGCAAATCCTAAGCTTGGTTTGGGAAGTGCATTAGCAAACATCCTGCAGACAACTGTGTCAGTTATCTGTGAAAACCCTTTCCACATAGAAAGAGTTGAGTGAAGGGCTCCCAGGCCTGTCTCAATTCCATAAAATGGACCAGAGCTTTGCTTGGGATGTCTCCTGGCTTGGGGCAGTCTGTTATATCGGTGACCAACTGTCCTTCCAACCTATGTCAACGATTTGAGAGTTGCTTTTCTTCTGTCTTTCCAGATCATCTGTAAAGAGGAGGAGCAAAGTGATTGGCCCATCATGCATCTGAAAGAAGCTAAAACCTGTGTAAGTACCACCCTTTTGGACTTCTGTGTAGGATTAGCAGCTGTGTTACTGTTGGAGAGCAGCTTTTAACCAGTGGTACTCTGAGCATGTGAGCCTACAGACATGAAAGTAATTTCATCAAAATAAGATGCAACCACTTTTGGCGTGTAAAATGGTAAATGCAAACCCATACTCAGCAGTATGACCCAGTGGGGGATATGGCAGGAGGAGAAGAGGCCCGTGTGGTCTTCTTCAAGTAAAAGGACCAGCTGAGCCTGCCCAGATCTCAGAAAAAGAGCAATGGGAAATTTTAGAGGGTGAAACTTTCCCTCTGCAAAGGCTAACAGGAGAGCTTTTTGCTTTTGCAGAGGGGCCAGAAGTTCATCCCAAAACCCAAGCAAAAAAATGTGGAGTTCCTCCACAGTTGCTGTGTACTTGGTGAGATCTTGCCACCTCACAGTTGGGGTAGGGTGGCATCTGACTGCAGAGCAACTGGGAAGCGCAGCAGCCTGGAGCTTGGGACTCACTATGCTCCTCGATGCTATATCAGCTCTCATAGAACCCTAAAGTGAGAGCAAAAAACTCCATTTTGTTTGTTTCAGATCCTCTACAAGACCAGGGAGTAGTAAAATGTACTGCCAAGGTTGGGGAAAGGCAAGCCCAACGCAAGCCTATACACCAAGACCCCTTCTTCTGGTGGGTGGGTACTGTCTGCTGGCTTTTCTGAGGGATACCCACCTTCAGAATGATTCTTGTGGAAACTATGAGTTTCCTGTAATAGGGAAGATGCAATGTATTGATAACTTTTAAATAGGCTGAAGTTTTAAATTTATGACAAAGAGAAAGAGTCAACACCACATGGCTGGTGAGATCTTGACAGAGTGACTGTATTTATCTGAGCTGTGGGTAGGGCTCAGGGGTGTTTTTTGGCATTATAATGTTCTGGTTTCTGGATCTCAGCACTGTCAAGGCAGCATAAGCATTGGGAAATTGGCATGTCAGGGACCTTCTAACAGCTTATACTGTACAGCATCAGAAATAGCTGCTCAGTTTCATGAACCTCGGCTGTCCCGTTTGTAAAATGGACTGACTTGACTTCACCATACGGTGGTCAGACGCAAAGTGAAGCCACACTGTGTTCATAAAACCTTTTGAGATACATGCTGAGATGATCACAATCGCTCCTACTGACCACAGCAGCTCTTGAAATCCCCTGTGGCTTGCTGGTGGCCCTACCTGGCAGCCCTGGAGAGGGCTTGGACCTCCCCATAGCACCCACCGTGCTCCTGGAGGAGGGAAAGCGCCTGTCTGCTGCCATCTCATGGTCATCACCTTCCTACTTTGGCTGCTGCTGGGTGTAAATGCTCCTTGCCCACACACCTGCAGAAATGATGATGTTCTTAGCCGTGCTGCCGTTAACGCTGAGGATGACTCCAAGGAGGGACCTTATTACCATGATGCCCATGGCCCAGACACCACAGCAGGACAGCCTCTCCTGAGGGCATCCCCTGCCATGCTTTGTGTAATGTCTGAACCTCCAGCCCTGTCCACGCTGGGAAAGCTTCCCATCAAATTTTATATTGAATGTATAAAAATATTTCATCAGATCGAGAAAATCTAATTTTGGAGCCTAAAGCACCTGGGTGACTTATGACCGTGCTGGTATTTAATGCTTCCCTCCTTCTGAGCACAGTCATGCTCTGCATGGAGCCGCTGTCCTCCCCGGGGCTTCACTGGAGCTGTGCTGGGAGGCTTTTTGGAAACAGGGATGGTAAGGCTGGGAAGTGTCGGTGTGCAGTGATGCACCGGCGAGCTAAGGGGTGGGCAGACATCATGGCTTGGCATCATCCATCGCTCCTGTCTGCCTGCTCCGCTGGGCAATGGCGTGCTGGAGCTGGCAAGCCAGCAAGTCTGCCACTCTGTTTCCCTTAGATTCCTCTGGGTGTAATAACGAGCCGAAGCATTGTTAGTACAAAATGCCAATTACGCCTCAAAACAGCTGCAGAAACACTGCAAGGGTGCATCCTCCCATAGCATCGCCCTCCTCAGCTGCCAAAACACCTCCCGCCCGCTTGCCGTTAACTTTCCACTCGGCGTATTCCTGAAAATTGCAATGAATTTTATGCCTCCCAAGCTGAGCAGATAACAGAGAAATGGCACTATCTGGTTTCCCTGCTTTGTAGGCCCGGTAAACAAGTTTCTAGCCAAATCTTGACAGCAAAGTGAAAAAATCCTTTGCATTTCGCAACCCGTGGGAAAACAGGAAAGTGTGCGCTATAAGAAGTGTTCCAGAAACAACTCCGATCCTGGTCCGCAAGAACGATCCAGGGTTGGGGCGGCATTGTACCAAAAGCTCAGCTCCAGAGAGGAGCCGGGGAAGCATCAAGGGCAACGCGGGGGCCCGGTGGTGGGGGACGTGTCCAGATCCCTCCTGGCAGGGGAGAGGGCAATGCAGACCACCCCTCCTGTGCAGAGACAGGCTCATGGGGTAGCACTGGCGATGCAGAGACCTAAGCAGGGTCCGAACCTGGGAACTGCAGGCATTGCGCCCTGCTGCACCTCAGTTTCTCCAGCTACAGTAAATTTTAAAAAAACCAAAACAAACAAAAAACCTCAATCTGTAAATCTTAAAAAAAAAAGAGCCAAATACATGGTTGGTACCACTTTGTGGACCAAAGGTATGGCTAGGGCTGGTTGGTTCCCACCATCCTTCTTTTCAGGTGGTGCTTTTAACCAGAGCTGAAGTTTGGTCCATGTTCCCCCACCCTCCCTTTTGCCCCTTCTCCTTCCTTTGATTACAGCAGGATCTTAATGAGTTTCCTAACGAGGCTCATTAGCTTGATGCCTTGTGCTACATAGGGTGACTTTCCCAAGGTCCAGCTCACAAATTACCCTCAGCTGGGTTTTTGTTGGCTGCTTGGGGTGCTCCAGCCTTGGGAGGGATGGATGGATGGACGGACGGACAGCTGTTCCTCATCCCAACCCCAAAATGCCTTAGATGAAGCGAGAGGTGACGATGTCAGAGGTGGCTGGTGTCTCCCAAGCTCTGGTTGAGCCACACAACCCTGTGGCCACCTCCCAGGGGGCCAGCGTCGCTCCTCCATCATGTCCCCAGCCGGGATGCAGATGTGCCCTGCAAGGCAAGTTGGAGGATGCTGTGGAGCCTGCTCCAGCCAGGGGATGCAAAAGCAACAGTGGGACCACCCAGACCCACACCCAGGTGCCCGAAAGAATTTGCTGTGTTACACCCGTGGGTCTGGGGACAGCACGATGGTCCCCAGAGCAAGCGGAAGGACCCCCTCACCGAGCGGGGTCACGGTCCCCCTTGTCCCGTCCAGCTGGCGGGGGCAGTTTGTTGACTCAAGTGCTGTTACCTCATTTGGGGATGTTAGTTTTAGGTCCCCGCCAGTGTGGGAACCGGATTCGAGCTGCTCGGCAGCGCCTGTCAACTCTGGCCAAGGAATGTGAGCGGCTCCGGTGGCGGGGGGGGAGAGG